CTCGTTCAAGAGCTTCCAAAACTGGCAAGACTTCAGCCTTGTGCCACGAAATTAGAACCGCGGTATGAAAATGCGTCTCAGAAAAGCACCGGGTGCCGTGTGCTCCCTGGTGCCCTGCGCGCCCCCGTCTCACTTCATCCTCTCAACGGAGGCTGGTGGTTACCAGCCCATTTTACAGATAAGACCATAGGAGCTCAGAAGATCTCAACTACTGGCCCGGGGGCGCAGGGCCAGTGAGCGGGGAAACCAGAAGCCAAACCCAGGTCTTTTGGGCTCCAGGACCCTGACTCGTGTGACCCCCAAAGGGCGGCTCTGGGAAGTGTGTGAAAACGCAGATGCCAGGCTCCCAGGCCCCTTCTCCGCTCCCCGTTCCCATTTGGGGGTCCCGCGTGGGACTGGGGGATCGGCCTTTTCAACAAGCGCCCCGAGGGGCTCCGCCTCAGGGAGGGACGTGCATGGGGCCGGTCGGCAGAGCCCCCCCCCCACTGGGGCAGCTGAGGAAGCTGGCGGCTTCCCCCCACCCCCACGGTCAGAGGCAGCAGCAGCACGGGTGGGAGAGGAAAGGCGCTGAAAAAGACCCCGGAACTTTTTCCTGTGTGCTCCTCACAATGCCCGAAATTCCGTCATCAACCAGTCACTTCTCTGCAGAGCCAAGTTCCAAGCTCCCTCTCTCCACTTCCTCTCCATTCAAACTCATTTGCCTGGGTGTGCCAGACTCTGAGGAAGAGAAACCGGTTTTTACTATGGTGTGAATGACTTCCTTGGGTCCCCCGGGCACTGGATTCCTTCCTTGAATCCCCTAGGCCATTGGCAAGTGCAAGGCCATCCTAGGATCCTGTGCAAGGTCCTCAGAGGATATAACCTCATGCGATTTAGGAACAAAGACTCTCCTATCTCCGCTTCCTCCTCCTGCCTGGTCACCCCTCTTCCCATTTCTCCTTAGTCATCCTGCCCTCAGGACGGGCTCTGAATGCCATCCACACTGTGACGTGCGTAATGGATAACAGCCTAAGTGTGTGTGCGTGGGGGGGGGGGGCGCTCCAGGGTCGGAGTGATGTAAACCCAGGAGGCAGGAGAAGGCGGGACGCTGCTGCGCTGAGGAAGGCTTGCTGGGTGCTGGGTGGGGCGGGTGGGAGATCAGGCCAAGGCCAGACTCCGCCCGGGGCGGCGGGGGGCGGGGGGGGGGGTTACTGGATGGTTTTCCCGGTGGCCCAGGCTGGCGAGCCTGCGCTCTCTCCATCACCCGGAACACAGAAGGCGCTCCGAGCGGGTGTGAGTGTGACGGTGGCCTCTCTCCAGGCCCTACGGGTGTACTGCCCCCCCCCCCCATGATGCCGGCAGGTGGGCCTCTCGGGGTCTGCGTGCTACAGCCCCCTGGCCCGGCCCCGCCCCCCGCTCTGCACCTGCTCAGTTGGCATTGAGCGCCAGGCCCAGGCCGGGAAGCAGAGACCCGGCCGGGCTGCGGCGCGGCCCCAGTTTCTCACTGGTTTCCCAGCCCTCCCCCAGCCCAGCACCCCCCACCCCCGGGCCCTCCTGGGGGCGAGATGACTGGCGGAGCCCAGTCACCCACCCAGCCCTAGCTCTCACTTCCCCTAAAGGCATTTCCGGGGAGTCGGCGCCAGAAGTCACACTCCACCCTCAGCTGGGAATTCCGGAGACTGGGTTTAGGCCGCACTTGCTTGTTTTTGGTTTTTTAAACCAAGTTCTGTAGCGTAAGAAACACAGTTTACGGTGTGACAGCTGTGCGTACGTTCGCGTACAGGACACGTGCCGTGAAGTGTCCCCCGAACCGGCTGTGTGACCCCTGGGAGCGCCAGCATGTCTCCCCCAATCCAGCCTCGCTCGCTCGTGACGAAAGTGGTGGGGGTGGGCCCGCCTACTGAAAACTCGGGTTTTCTCGTGGAAAAGGAATGGTCTCAAGTCATGAGTCCAGAAAGGTGGGCGGAGAAGGTGGGGGGGGCCGGGGGGGAATAGGGTTCTAGAAGATTCTAAGAGGCCTCCAGGAAGCCTCTGTGGGAGGAGGCAGGCTTGCACGCAGCTCTAGAGGGAAGGTGAGGCCCTGTCCCTGCTCGTCCCCAGGAGTTAGGGCTTGGAGGCGAGTCCCCTTGCCTGAGGCGGCCCCGCCGAGACCAGAAGGCTGTTGAGCACCTGCTGGGTCTCCAGGACTTAGTGTGGGGGCGCCTGAGGGGCTCAGGCGGTTGGATGTTCCACTCCTGATATGGGCTCAGGTCGTGATCTCCTAGATCACGAGATCAAGCCCCACGTCGGGCTCTGTGCCGACAGCGCGGAGCCTGCTTGGGAGTCTCTCTCTGTGTCTCTCTTTCTCTGCTCCTCCCCCGCTCTCTCTCTCTCTTTCAAAATAAATAAACTTAAAAATACTTAGTATGGAAGGAAGAAAGTAAAAGATCTCATTAATAAGCGTCTATATGGATCACACACGGGAAGGATATTTAGATGTATTGGGTTAAGTGAGATGTATTATTAAAACTAATCTCAGCCTTATCTCCCCTTTCTTTTAAATCTTCCCCCAACTGAAATGCTTCTCCCTCCTGCCCCGCTCACGCTCGGATTCTCAGGACCTGGACGTGTGACGTCATACTTACTGACGTCAGCTCAAAACACGTAAAACCGAGTAAAGACAGAACGGATTCGGCAGAGGAATGGGAAAACAGGCTGGTGCCACGAGGTCCATCCAGAGACATAAAACGCGGATCCCAGTGCCCAGGACACCGATGCTGAGCCCTGGACGCAGAGGAAAGCAGCCAGGTATAGACTGTTGTCCAACGCGTCGACTATGCGTCTGACGCAGACGCCTTTCCCTCGTGTTAATTATACCCCGTTCAACAATTCGAGAGGGAAGGAGCCGTGCGGCCGGTCCCGTGTCCCGCAGACTTGGTAACAGGACTCGACCCTGTTCATTCATGCTCACCCGTCAAGGTGAATTTTAGTGTTTTAAAAAAAAAATTTTTTTTAAATGGTTTTATTTATTTCTGAGAGAGAGAGAGAGAGCGAGCGAGCGTGCAAGCAGGGGAGGGGCAGAGAGAGAGGGAGACACAGAATCTGAAGCAGGCTCCAGGCTCCGAGCTGTCAGCACAGAGCCCCACGCGGGGCTCGAACCCACAAACTGTGAGATCGTGACCTGAGCTGAAGCTGGACGCTTAACTGATTGAGCCCCCCAGGCGCCCCTGTTACAAGTTTTTAAGGGGCGCCTGGCTGGCTCAGTCGCTGGAGCATGCGACTCTTGGTCTCGGGGTTGTGAGTTTGAGCCCCACGTTGGGTGTCGAGCCCACGTCAATAAACAAATGAACAAACTTAACCAAAAAAATCTGGGCGGGTGGGGTAACGCCCAGTAACACTGGTGGGGTGTGCAGTAACACGCAGTCACCTCGGATTCCGTGATACCATTTCTAGTAATCCAGCCTAACCAGTGATCCAAAGGAAGTAAGACCTAAATGCAGAACTACAGCTTCGGCCCGGATAAGCAGGGCGCAGGCAGCGTGCGACGGGGCAGAAAGGGGCACGAAGGCCCCGCGATGGGCTGGGAGGGAGCCGACGAGCAGTGGGGAAAAACCCCGCGAAGAGCAGCCCGGGGCGGGGGAGGGGGGACCGAAGAAAGGCGGGTGCGGTGCATGCGGACACGTCGCCACAGGTGTGGCCGAGCCCCTCGGGGACAGAGCACAGAGCCCGCATCTCGGGCGCGACGGGGAGGCTCCTCCTCGGTCTCTCTGCCGCCCAGCCCGCCGTGAGGCGTGAGCGGAACCCATTTTCCAGCCCTGGGGCATCGCATCTTTATAAAGAGCTTCTCTCCCCTTCCTGAACAGGTGGCTTTTCTGGTGTCGCCACGGGTGTTCCAGGCGTTGTGTCTGACTTCCGCAGAACCTCCCGGAATTGCGGATTACTCTGGCTTCCCGAGTTATCCCAGGGTTTCCGCAACCCAGAAGTCCTCCCTTGGGTCCAACCAGATGGCCTCGCGCTGTTGCGGGCTTTCTTGGTTGTTTGGTTCTGAGAACGTGGGGACCTGGAGCCCTGTCACCTGGCGGCTGTCGGGTGTGGTCAGTGGGGGAGGGGGGTGCCGGCAGTGAGGCCCCCCCGCCCCCTATTTCCTCTCCACAAAGGATTTACATCAAAATGAGACAATGGTAACAATGTATCCCCGCCTCCCAGGGGAGAAAACTAGAAGCCAAACACCAAAGTCCGCCTTGGTTTTTCCCAAGTGGCTACTTGTGGGGCCAGTGTCCCCCCCTTTCTCTGTAGTTTTCCAGTTTCGCGGGGAGCCGAAGGGGTGGGGGGAAGGTCCTAAAAGTAACAAGAAGTGGGGGTGCCCAGGGGGCTCAGTCGGTTAAGCCTCCGACTTCGGCTCAGGGCGTGTTCTCACGGTTCGTGGGTTCAAGCTCAGGGCGCGTGAGCCAGGAAAGGAGTGGCTCTTGGGACACAGGTGATGCGAGACGGGACAGAACTGGGCACACGAGGAGGCCAGGCCTCCTCCGAGGAAGTTTCCCAGAAGCTCCGCGGGGATCGGAGCTCAAGCCCGCGGCCACGGGATCCCGGGATCCCTTACAGGTCCCTAAATACCAGAGACACAGGCACAGAGATGCCAAGGCTGGTGGCGTTCTAGGCTTTTCCGGCAAGAGTCCCGAGATGCAGCTCGAAGTTCACATTGTCACCCCCTCGCCCCCCCCTCCCCGTCCCCGACACGCACGCATTCAGGTCTTCTCGCTTATCAGGTCATCGTCCGAGTCCGGAGGGGTAACTCCCTGTCTACGTGGACCTGCCTCTCTCCCCGTCATGATGTCACTTCAACCCGAGAGGCAGATTTCTTCACCCCCCACCCCCCCAACATACACCGGGGAACGGAGGCCAGGCAGGTGCAGGGATCTGAGGTCCCCCCGCCTGGGAGGCTGGAGCGCACCCTGCAGCCCCCCCACCTCCCCCCAGGAGACCGAGCTAGGCTCCAGCCCCCGCCAGGCGGCCACTCAGGTGACCCGAGCCCAGGTGCTTACCTGGGTGGCAGGAGCATCCATCTGTGAGCGGCCGAGGGGACAGCAGGGGCACGAGTGTGGCGGCTCGGGCGCAGCTGGGACACGCCTTCCTCGCCCGCGGGCCTCCCGCCCACCCGGAGCAGCGAGCCCAGCCGGCCCCCACTTCCCCTTCCTGCGCAGCCCTGGGTGGGGGGAGGCCCCGCGTCCACAGGCAGCCCGTCGAGGCCTCCAGGAGTCAGAGTCGCCTCCTGCGAGGCCCTGCCCAGGACCCACCCGTGGTGGGGGGGTCAGGCCCGGTGCGGCCGGGGGTCCCCGCACACCAGCCTGCCTGAGCGAGCATCCCCCGCTGCGGCAGCCTGGCCCGGGGCCCCCGAGGACGCTGGCTCCCCCCAGGGACGCCCCCGGCGAGGTTCCCGGGGGACAGGCACTGGGGGACACGGTGGCCAAGCCTGGGGCTGCTGGCCAGCTTCCGCTCGGGAGGCCAGGAGCCCGCCGCTCCGCCGCGGGGCTGGGTCCCCATCAGCACCGGCCGGTCAGCAGCGGCGCCCACGACCTCTCACGACGGGGAGCCGGCCAACCATTTTGTCGACCTGACCCGTCTCACCGAAACAAATAGCCTGGCGGTAAACACAGCCACCTGTGTGCTGTGTCTGCCCGCCTGTCCGTGACCGTGATGACACCCCCGGCTTCCTGGCAAGTGCTTACCCGCCGGCTTCCAGGAAACAAGATTCCCGTGTGCACGGTTTACGCATTTCCAGGATTTGGACAGTTGCCGCTTTGGCCCCTTCCAGCCACCCCCAGGGCGACCCCGGCTCGGCCTGGGTGGGGGGTGTTCACGGGGACGAGGGCCCGCCTGGCGTTTCCGGTCCCGGGTCTCCCCACGTCTCCGCTGGCCCTGGGGCCGTCACCTCCACCTTGCAGGGGAGCGCACCGCGGCCCCGGGGGGTTACAGCCCGAGCGAGTTCCGGGAAGGACCGGGAGCCCAGGTCTGTCCCTGCGCCAAGTCTGTGCTCTTTCTCGGGACAGTCGACCCAGAGTGGAGCTGCCCAGAAGCCTCCCTAAAGACACTCTTAAAATGATCTTTTTGGGGCACCTGGGCCGCTCAGCCCATTCAGCATCTGACTCTTGACCAGCTTGGGTCATGATCTCACAATTCGTGAGTTCGAGCCCCACGACCGGCTCTGTGTGGACAGCCCAGAGCCTGCTTGGGGTTCTCTCTCCCCACCTCTCTGCCCCTCCCCTGCTCGCTCGCTCGCTCTCTCTCTGTCTCAAAATAAATAAACATTAAAACAGCGATCGTTTGGGGCGTCTGGGGGGCTCAGTCAGTTAAGCATCCAACTTCGGCTCAGGTCATGATCTCACGGTTCGTGGGTTCCAGCCCCGCGTCCGGCTCTGTGCTGACAGCTCAGAGCCTGGAGCTGCTTCCGAGTCTGTGTCTCCCTCTCTCTCTGACCCTCCCCTGCTCATGCTGTCTCTCTCTCTCTCAAAAATAAATAAAATATTTAAAAAAAACCAGCGATCGTTTGAGAAGGGAACAGGGACTTCTGAGGGGGAGCTCATCCCCCGACTCCCCGTCCACGACCCGCTGACTCACCGACGCTGGTTTCAGGTGTGCTCGGGGCCCTGCTGGGATGACACAGCGGATCCGACGCACCTGCTGACACCCACGGGCACCCGGCACCAGGTGCAGACCCACAACAGCCCCTTGTACGAGCCCCTCCCCCCGTCTGAGCCTCAGTTTCCTCGCTTGTGAAAGAAGAGAGCTGACTGGTGCCGCCAGGGTGCCCCGGGGACTGAGCCGCAGAGCCTCTGCTGCGGTGTCTGCTGTCCCCAGCGGGACGGGGCGCCTTCTCCGCCACCCTCCGGACGGCGGTGCCCACACAGCGGCGGGCACCACAGAAACTGCCCGGTTCGTGTGCGTGAGCCGTCCACCCAGGCAAGTGAGATACATCCACGGGAGGAGGTGACTTCCCTGGCGGTGCTGGGCCGGGAGGGATCAGAGCCAGGGCCTGGCCCAGGGCAGGGGGGCGGGGGCGGCCCTGGCGGAGCGCGACCCAGGCTCACGTCTGTACCCGCAGCCCGAGGGTGTCCCTGGCCGAGCCCACCCTCTCCCGCACACAAGGCGCAGGGGGAGCACAGGGCGCTGGGCCGAGCGGGCCAGTGGCGGCGCTGGCCTGGGCCTTGAAGGAGGTGTAGGGGTTCGCCCAGCAGCGAGGGTGGACAGGCCGCGGCCCACTGCTCGGAGGCAAAGCTCGGGGCCCCCGCCCAGGGCTGCCATTGCGTCTCTGTCCTCGCTGTCCCCGGGCCCCCCCACCCTTTCCACCCGGGGTGGGCCAGGACCTCGGGGTCTGTTTGGCCTTCTGACCCCGGGGCCAGGGTGGCTGTCGGGGGTGCAGGCGGGTGCGGAGGCCCCAGGGCTCGGGGGGCGGGAGGCGCCCTCTGGTGGCCGCCTGCGATGCCCCCGCCGTGCCCTCTGGAGGCCGCAGAGCCCGAGACGCCCAGGCTGCAGGGAGGGGGAAGGGGGTCCTTGTCCGCACCCACGGCGCCACGTGACACGTAGAATGAGGGTCCCCCCCCCAGTGCTGCGTCACGGGTGCCCGGCAACCGTGGTCGGGGCAGCAACCGAAGCGAGGGCTGGTGGGGCCGTCGGGGGAGGGGGCGGCGGGGGGCCGGTCTCCGGGCACGGGGCCGGGGACCCCGGTGGGAGGCGGCAGCCGCGGGAGCCCCGAGGCCCGGAGCGCGATGTGACGGGTTTGGCGCCGGTGACCCGGGGCCTGGACGCGGCGCCGCCCGCGCGGAGGAGGCGCGGCCTTGCGGGTGTTTTATCCCGGGCTCTTTGCCGTCATCTCGAGCCCCTTCCCACGCGGGACAGAGACACACGAGTGGACCCTACAGGCGGCTGATGGGGCGCTGACGCACCAGAGCCCAGGATAGACCCTGGTGCGCCCGGGACTCAGGATCCGACGGGTGTGTGTGTGTGTGTGTGTGTGTGTGTGTGTGTGTGTGTCTGCGTGTGTGTCCACACCCGCGTGCCCCTCATTCCACGCGGCTGTCGAGCCGCTTTGAAGAGCTGCCTGACCACACTCCAGTCTCCGAGAAGCACGTGCTCCTGACACAGCAAGGATTCAACTCCATTTTTTAGTCTTTTTTAATTCTTAAAAATGTTTATTTCTGAGAGACCAGCAGGGGAGGGGCGGGGAGAGAGGGAGACACAGAATCCGGAGCAGGCGCAGGGCTCAGTCTGACCCACCGTGAGATGGTGACCTGAGCCAGAATCAGAGTCCGACGCCCAACCGACTGAGCCCCCAGGTGTATGGACAGCTTATTTTTTAGTTAGGAGACAACAGAAATAAATATAAATATAAAATATTCCCCACAAAGGGAAACAGCACAAATAAATATAAAATTCGTCAGGTGGCCATAAGGATTTTGGAGGAAAATGGAGCGCGGTGTGGGCGACTGCACAGAGGAGGGGCGAGCTCCACAGGGGACAGAAAGCACAAACTTGAAAGACAAAAGGAAAATTGCAAGAAATATCTGCACTATGTGACAAGAGCTATTTTCCTTCATATACAAAAAGTATTTTTTTGTAGGTCGATATGTGAAAGAGGCACAAATCAATAGGGGAAAAATGGACAAAAAACATCAGAATCTCTTCTTTTTAAAATCTGAGTGGCTCTGGACGCCTGGGGGGCTCACTCAGTCGGTTGAGCGTCCAACTTCGGCTCAGGTCATGATCTTGCAGTTTGTGAGTTCAGGCCCCGCGTCGGGCTCTGTGCTGACAGCTCCGAGCCTGGAGCTGCTTCGGATTCTGTGTCTCCCTCTCTCTCTGCCCCTCCCCCACTTGCACACTGTCTCTCTCTCAAAAATAAACATTACAAAAATTTGAAATCTGAATGGCTAATAAATCAGGGAAGATCCTTAGCCTCACTGGTAGTCAGGGACATGAAAATAAAAATGAGTCCCACGTTCATCTAATCCATTGTGGTCCCTTTCACCCAGTTATCCTCAGTACCTAAAACAGTATATGTAGGTAGTGAGCACCCTTTAAGTATTGGATGGATGGACGATGGATAGAAGGATGGATGATGGATGGACGGATAGATGGATCATGGATAGATGGATATGAATAGATGATGGATGGCTGTATGATGGATGGATTGACAGGCGGATGGATGGACAGATGGATGGATACATGACATGAAACGTTCCTGGGGCTTGGTGACTTACCAACGCCTGCCAAATGAGGCCAGAGCTAAGACTCACACTTAGTTTCCTTCAGGTCCTCTGCCCTGGAGCTAAGCAGCAGATTATCGGAGCCCAGCAAGGACAGTCACATTGCCCGGGGGCCAAAATGCCCTTCGGAAGGGAGCCAGCCCGGGGAATAACCCTGGCGCTGGCCCCTGTCTGTGGACTTGCCTTTCTGGTCTCCCCGTTTGGCTGCACTTCTCTGCTCTCGCCCTGCTAACGATGCTTGTCATTTCAGACGGAGCGCACCTGAGTTACGTGGCAAGAGACGATGCACATTTATAAAGATTAGAAGCCACAGAAAACATCTACCAGCCCTATTTTATATAATATCGCAAACCCAAATCTTCCATCCTGGGATAGATCTTAAAAGTGAAAAGGTATGTAGGGGCGCCTGGATGGCTCCGTCAGTTAAGCATCATCCCACTCTTGATTTCGGCTCAGGTCATAATCTCACAGATTGTGAGATCAAGCCCCACAATGGGTTCTGTGCTGGGAGCGTGGAGCCTGGTTGGGATTCTTTCCCTCCCTCCCTCTCTCTCTCTCTCTCTGCCTCTCCCCTGCTCGCTCTCTCTCTCTTAAAATAAATAAAATTAAGAAAATTTTAAAGGGATTTTTTTAGAGTGTGTGCACATGCAAGCAGAGGTGGGGTGAGGGTGAGGGGCAGAGGGAGAGAGAGAGAGACAGAGAGAGAATCCCAAGCAGGCTCCATGCCGAGCCTGACTTGCGACTCAATCCCACGATCCTGAGATAATGGTCCAAGCTGAAATCAAGAATCAGAGGCTCAACTGACTGAGCCCCCCAGGGTCCCCAAAGCAATTTTCTGAA